ATACACATCTATCAACAAGTGAATCTAAAAATCAAGTGAATAAATAATCTGATGAACAGAATGAACTGGTGATTATAATGAATCAGGGACATAGAAAGGGAATGGACTGACTATTCTTGGGGGGGAAAGGGGTGTGGGTGATGCGGGAAAAGACTGGACAAAAATCGTGCACCTATGGATGAGGACAGTGGGCGGGGAGTGAGGGCGGAGGGTGGGGTGGGAACTGGGTGGAGGGGAGTTATGGGGTGGGAAAAGAGGAACCAATGTAATAATCTGAACAATAAAGATTTAATTAAAAAATAAAAATAAAAGATTACAGGTAGTAAAAAAAAAAAAGAAAAAGAAAATAGGGGTATTTTCTATATACAGGCACACCTCATTTTATTGTGCTTCACTTGATTGCCCTTGACAGATGTGCTGTTTACAAATGGAAGACAAGACTCTCTAGATTTATCGCAGTGGTCTGGAACCCAACCCACAATAGCTCCGCAGTATGCATGCATGCTTGAAATGAAAAGATAGCCTTCCTTTCCTTAATTACCAAACAAGTAATCTGCACATCTCGACATCAAACAGGGCTCCCATTTCTTTTCTCCTCTCTAGGTCAACTGCCTTTTGGCAATGTGAACAGAAAGCAAACACATAGTCCCTAAAGCACGTCACGGTTTTAGGCACTCTGATAAAGATTTTATAGTTTAGAAGGTTGAATTTAAGGGGAAAAAATGAAATTGAGATAAAGCATACGTTTAAATAATTTAAACTGATGATAATCTCCACTTCCATGGATGCTCAAAAGTTGAGCTAGTTAGACATCACTTTTGTAACTAACTTATTTGCAAGATAGCAGACTTAAAACACTGTGCTTGCCTCTCTACCTGGAGGGTGGAAATCAATAACAGCTTGCCCTCTTCCCTGACCACCCAAATCACTAAATGCTCTGAGTCCTTTGCTATGTTCCCCATCCTGAAAGGTCAATCTGATAACATGCCTGTGAGGTCGACAGAGAAGGCCTCCCACCTCCTGTCAGCTAAAAAGTAATTGCACACAGACAAGAAACAAAAACACCCCAAGCCACAGTTGGGTGATATCTGTCTGGCTGTCAAGATAACCTGAGAAAACAGGTAGCTGAAGACAGCAGAAAACCAAGCATGCAAAAGGAAAACATCTGTGATTAAAAAGAAAAAAAGTGAGCAGAAACAAAACCCTAATGTCAGCTTCTTAAGGAAAAGGGGTTTATCTCAAGTTTATCCCTCCGTGCTCTGTTTTACCCTGAAGACGTATTTATATACTCATTCATTCACTGTGCCAAGCACTCGGTGCCAACAGGGTGCACAGCAGTTGATCCTATGCTTTACTCAGTCAAGTAATACCCCTTCCCTGCCTGCACTTCAGATGCATTTGTGGCTGACCATGGGGACCCTTTTCGGAGAACTGCCCACTCTCTGGATCTCTCTTCTTGAAATCTGGAGCAACTTAGTGGTGGGCACAGTCCACTGAATTATTTTTCCCCTTTTAAACCAAAGGTCACTTTGCTTTCCTTCATGTTCATTAAAGAATGAGCTTTGCAGAGCGAAATGGTAGCACATTCATACCTGGTCTCTCAGCCTCTCCTGGTGGCCCATGATTGCTGTGGCATGATGGGGGTATTTCTGCTTGAGATGTTCCAGGAAAGCTTCTCTCTTCCTATCCATCTCAGATGTTTGCATCCCCAATATTTCTTTGGAACTTCGGGGCCCACCTAGGGTGTGTCTCCGTGGGATGTTTCGGGAAGCCTTGGAAACTGAAACTCGACTGTTCCCATTAGAAAGGCGTTCCTTGGTTCTTCGGCATTCTGCATCTTCTAATGACGTTACATGCAGATTGCTTTTTCCTTGTTCTGGAAGACAAAAAAAATAGTTTAATTAATGATCTCACACTAGAAATCTCATTTACAGAATACCGAGAGGGACTGTGGCAGCTGTGAATGTATGAATATAACCTAGCAGATTTTGTGTGTCTGTGTTTGTCAAGAAGAAAAAAAGTCAACAATCATGAAATATGAAAAATCTCACTTTAGAAATAAAGATGCTGCAGCAAAAAACTGCTATTTCTGACTCTTTCCCTGCAGTTATTCAAAGTGAGACACTTGTTCAAATGAGTTTGCGGGCAATTGGGTTAGCTCTTACCTTCACCTATAATTGGAGAAGAGTACTCCGGTGAAATAGATTATTTCTTTATTTTTTAAAAATACATTTTTATTGATTTCAGAGAGGGAGAGAGAGATAGAAACATCAATGATGAGACAGAATCAAAGATCAGCTGCCTCCTGCATATAATCTGGGCATGTGCCCTGACCGGGACTCGAACCATGACTTCCTGGTTCATAGGTCAACACTCAACCACTAAGCCATGCCTGCCAGGCTAATTCTTTATTTTTAATTCCATCATCCTGGTAACAGGATCTTTAGATTTTTATATCTGAAGGTGGTTTCTGAAGCATTTGTTTCATCTCCAAGATCAAAAATAGCTATTATAATAACTGACAGGCCAACCACTTACAAGTTCGATTCCCCCCATTAACATAAACCAAGCAAGCGTAAGAATACTATTACAGGTAATAACTGAGGGGGCATAACGTAAAGGCTTAGACACATTTCACTTGAAGTGGACTTTATCTGAAACATACATTGAAGGGAAGAGACACATGGTACATTCTAGAGGCTTCTGACCTGGTAGGGTCAGAACGGAAGCAGGCAATGACAAGGCTCTGAGTGCAGGACATGAGTAGGGCCTCTCCATTCCTTCTCAGTGGTTGGCAAATGGGTGCCAGGTTGGAATATTCCACTTAACTGAGAAAAGGGAGTTACTTCTTTAAAAGCCAGAATAGGAAGAGAAAGTAGTGCACATTCAGAAGCACTTCAGGAACTCGCCAGGTTCCGTCACAGGGAACAGCTCTTAAACAATATCACAGATGCGGCAGGAAAACGTCCTTGGCCACCGAGTTCCCTGGTGAAAGCACTGGGCTGGGTCTCAGGAGTCCTGCCTAAAACCTAGGCTTCCAACAAGTAATGTGACCTCTCAGACTCACTCTCTTCATTAACAAAAGGAGGATGTGGGACTAGCATTAGATATGCAAAGAGCCTTCTAGATCTAAAGCCTATAAATGTACCCTTAACTATTTTTTAAAAATAAGTTTCCAATGCGAGCTTATTTGCCAATTACTTATCTTTAAAAGGAATGTGTAGAGAGACCCAATATTTGAGAGTTTTAGATTTGAGTCTCAGATAAACAGAGAACCAAACCTTCATGCCAGAAAGGTAGAGCATCAGGTGTCCAGACTTAGGTGTAAGTTAGTGCCTCTGAAGGCAATGCCACCAACAGCTTCTTCTGTCATTGCCTAGAAACATCTGTGTGTGGGACTCTAGGCATGACCCCCTTTGGTTAGGCATAGAGAATATTTTAACTCAGGCTGGTTTTCCTGTTCCGGTCTTCTGTCCCTCAATGCATGTTCTGGGAATAATTCTTCTTGTTTACCCTTCACTTCTCATTACATTGCTAATTACAGCATCTCCATCAGACATTGATGAGAAAAGGGAGGGGGACAAAACAGCCAGATTCCTTAATTCTTCTACTTTTCATTAGTCTCAGCAGTACATTTAGAAGGCAAAGAAGATGGAACTATTGGTTTAAAAGATAGTGGGAGATAAACTGTAACTTCATTGATTTTGCTTACTTTCTCATTGGGTGGACTCACAAGATGGCTACCTTTTTTGTGGCCTCTTCTTTGATAATACAGAAGTAACAGAAACCATGGAATAAAGCTAGATGGAGAAAATGCCATATCTCAGGCTGGTAAAGATGTGTGCAATCTGAAGAGATTTAGCTTTATCCTTTGAGTGTGCATGTGAATATGAGTTTTGTATTAGCCAAAAGTTGTGTGTTTGACCTAACAATGTTAACTTTTAAATGGAGTATTAAGATCACTTTTAACTTCATTAAAATAATATATTTTTGGGGGGGGAAAAGTATCCAGGACAGTGAGGCTAATTAGCAGGACAATCTCTAGAAAGGGGATTTCTTTACACGGGCATAACACACAAACATCCACACACACCCACATGGGTATATACTCCTGCGTCTCAAATACCAACAGGTGCAGAAAGTCCCCTCTGCAGAGCTTTGTCGCAGACTCACACGAACTATTGTTTCATCCAAGACTTCGAGGAAGAGGTCAAGACAGCCAGAACAGTAGCCCCTTGGAGCCGGAAGGGAGTTTTCCACTTTCTCCTTTGAAATAAATTGGGAAAGGCGCGCGGAGGGGCAGTGTGGAGCCAGCATCAACCTTCTGTCAGCATTCACCTCCCAGCAGCCCCCACTTACTGGCCCTCTACACCCCCATTCTTTTCAAACACTTAGCACTGGGAGGGTCACATCAACCTTCCTTCACTTTTCCATTTTTTCTCTGTCTCATGGATTCCTCTAAATGTCTCCAGTTGCTTAACAAGGTTTAATCCGCTTTGGAGAAAAGCAGCAAATAGCATCAGTGGTTAATGCACCAAGGGCTAAAGGCACAGTCCGAATCTAATCGCCCTCAAGGCCCGCTCCTTCCTCCGGTCCCACCTTCCCGCCTTGCACTTTGATCCAGCTGTCAGCCCCATCGGCCCCCATCCCACCACCAGGACCTACTCCGCTGTCACCAGCACCCACAGCAACCCCACACCACTTTGCACACACCATTCCTCAGTAAGCTTCAGCGCTCAGAAGCTGCCAAGCCCATGCCTGAGGGATAGTGACCACTCTCCCATTCCAGTCATTTAGAGAGAATGTGGTCTTTCAACTGAGGGGAAAACTAAACAGGGATAGACACAAACAAGAGAGGGAGCAGGCAAAGGACGTTCTGTCACAACTCCACAGCCATGGAACCAGAGATCCGAGTCCTGCCAATTCCTCATTATCCGCATGAATAGATGATCCAAGCCATCCAAACAGAAACAGAGTTTTATTTCTTGTCCAGAAGGCTTTGGTGCTAACATTTAAATACGGGTGTGTCTAGTTGTTTGCTATTCTGGGAATCCACCTCAGACAAATAAGGAGGCTGCAGTATGAAGACCAGGCTTCCAGTTTCCCCTTCCGGTCCCTCCCAGCCTCTGCACAGCCTGCAGCAACTTCTCCCAGTAGCTCACTTCTAGCAGGAGCTGGGGACAGAGAACAGCCCCTCCAGGAGCAGAAGGAGGGACAAGGCAGGAGTGTTAGAGAGACAGGCTTCTGAATTCCAAAGGGCTTTCTGGCTGGGATGGACATGTTCTGGAAAGTGCAAGTAGAAGTCAGGAACGGGGTGAGTCCTGAGTAGGCCGGGAAGATGGGTCATCCACATAACAAGCTGCCCAGCAGGTGGGCGACCTCAGGAGCTGCCCAGGCTGACTTCCTGGCCACAGCTCAAGTTGCTTTGGCTGGATCAGCTGACCTGCAACAAGTAACCCGGGCCTTGTACATCACTGAGGCATGACACGCCTGGTATCTTTCTGAGAACCAGCAACAGGATTGACAGGCTCCCGGGCCAAGATGAGGTGGGTCACAGCCTCTTAGGGAAGAAGTCACTTCTTTATGGTCACTTCTTTATGGTGACTCCTGGCTAGCTAGCTGCCTCTAAGATGTAGCTTTTTAAATTGTAAGAGAGGCTCTCATCATAGGAACATCACGGGGAGCTGCTGCTTTGCCTGGCTGTACCACCTACCTGGGCCTGTCAGACAAAAGAGGGGATGGGGAACGTCCATCCCTCGGGCCATATCAGGCCCACAAAATCATGTAGTCTGGCCCTGCCAAGGCATTAGGAGTGAGTTAATTAAATGTTTCACCAAATATAGCAGGCTAATTTTTAAGCTGATAATTTTGTATGGCCCACAAATGATGTGATAAATATCCAAATGGCCTTGGCAGAAAAAAGGTTCCCCACTCCTGCTATGTATTCAAACCATAACGTCCTCACATTGCACACACAGGAAGACTGTGTGTTCCAGTGCCCTCACCTAGCTGGGGCCCTGTATTAATTCCAGCCAATGCAGAAGTGTGAGCCATCTTTAGTCCTGGCCCCTGGAACTCCTGAATTATCTTTGATGTTCGTTCTCTCTCCTCTCTGGCCAGTTGACTGTGAAAGTTCCAGGGAGAGCCTCCTAGGCCTTGGGGAATGGTGTCCTGACTCTACAGAAGGTGCCTGGGTCCCAGGGTCAGCCTGGAGGTGGACCATCCAGGAGATCCACATTCTACTGTGTTTGAGAAATAAACCCTGATTATGCTAAATCACAAGGACTGTTAGAGCAATCAGCCTATCTGACTAATATATATCCTGTGTGCTGCTGGGGGCCCACAGGCTTCGCCAGTTTTCCAGCTCCCTTATTCATATCATAAAGATCACCATATGCAAATTAGCAGAGAAGGTACACCTAAAACTGGGCCGTTACATTCCTCTAAAAAAACTTTAAAAATTAAGTGAGGAAGGTTTTAGGCAAAATCCTATAGATTTTAGGCAAAATAGGTACAGCCCCTTCCTCACCCAGAAAAGCATTTTTTCTCAACTGTTGGTTAGTTGATTAGTGAATTCATTCATTCACAAAAATATTTACTGAGTGCCTGCCCTGTACACTGAAAGGAGTTAAGACACATAGTAAAGTGGTGATCAAGAGAGACTTAATTCCCTTCCCTTATGGTGGAGTCAACATTATAATTAGGGAGGCGGATAAACAAATAATATGTAATAGAAATGACATATCATGATAACTGCTCTGAAGAATAAAACAGGATAAGGAAGAGAGACTGATGGGGAAATTTTAGAGCTGACTTCTGAGCGAAGACCGGAATGTCTGGGACTCCCCAGGCTTGCACTCTGTGGGTCTGCCAATTCTATTTCTTTTTTCCAGCTTCACTGAGATGTAATTGATCTAATATTGTCTGAGTTGAAGATGTACAATATATTGCTTTGCTGCACTTACACACTGTAAAGTGATTGCCACCATAGTGAATACTAAGTATCTTCAAACACTGGCAATCAGGAGGTGGGGGAGGCAAGCAGGTGGCTGGCAGCACTTCACCAGCATAGAGATTTCAAGGTCTCAGGGGCCAGACAAAAGCAGACCCTCAAGGGTGCTGTGGGCAGATATATGCATCCCAAGGAACCCCCAAGGGCCACTCTGAAGAGCCCATAGCCTCCAAAGGGAACATGATATAGTTAGACTCAAATTCAACCAGTAATCATTGAGTGCCTGCTCTGCACAATGCACTTGGCAGTACACTTTCACCCTATTACTTACCTAGTCACCTGCCTATTCAGCCATGGAAATCTCATTGATTAGAGCTATTCCTGAGGCAACCATATGCCCCAGTTTGCCAAAAGAGATCTGGGTTACAACTGTTGTCTCAGAGAAATTATTTATAGTGTTCCCTTTCACTCTCAAAAGTGTCTCAGTTTGGACAATAAGTTACATGATCACCCAAGGGGTCCTTATCTATAGTAGATGGATAAACTCAAAGCCTTTGTTCAACAAGTATTTCTCCAGTGCCTTCTGCATGTTCGATGCTGTTGGATTCTGGGAATGTAAGGATGAAGACAGGGTCGGTGCCCTGGAATACCACATTGTAATTGGTTGAAACACATACAGTACATAAACAATACAATGGAGAGTGCAGTGACCGGGATGGACATACGGTGTGATGGGTGATGTGGGCATCAGTGGACTGGCTTCCCTTTTTGTGGTCCTTGTGCTGACCAAAAAAACTGGAAATAAAGTCACACTCCTTCACAGCATCATTCTTAACCCATAACTCGATGGGATCTTAAAAATCTAACCTGGATTCTTATTCACCTTTCACCACCTCTCCAGCCACCCCTTCCCGGATGCCTGACCTCTAACTGCTGGAGTGTTCCAGGGCACATCTCCCGACCTTTCCTTTCCTTCTGCACACAGACCCCATCCTAGCACAACTCTCAGTCCCCAGTCCTCTCTCAATTCCAGTCATGAGTACCCAAATCTTAATCAACATCCCTACCTGGAAGCCTGATACGCTTCTCAAATCCTAACAGACCCAAGCCATAAACCCCTTCTCATCTATTCCCCTCACGTGCTTTCCGGTTTAAGGAAATGGCAGCTCCATTCGTTCAGCTGTGCAGACAAACATTTTTGAAGTTATCTTTGACTCCTCTGGTTCTCTGATGTCCCACATCCAATCCCTCAGCAAATTCTTTTGGCCTTACCTTCAATGGACATCGAGACCATTTCTTGTCACCACTTGATGCTCTACTACCTGCTGGTCCAAGCTAGCGCCTTTTCTTGCCTGTTTTACTGCAGAAGCCTTCAGCACAGTACCCAGTATTACCCTTTGTAAGACAAGTCAGAGCCGCCAGCAGCTCCCCACCGCTCTTGAAGTAACAGCCCAAGTCCTTCCCACACTGCCACAGTCCCTGCATGACCTGGCCTGGGATTACCTCTTAACCCCTGTTCCTCCCATCTGTCTCTCCTGTTCTTGCTGTTCTTTGACCATGTCCTTGCTATTCCCTCCCTTGCCTTTTTCAGATGTTTGTTCAAATATCACACCAATGAGGCTCCCCTTAATAATTCTATCTGTAGTTTCACCTCCCCCCACCCCCACCCCAGCACTCCCTATTCCCTGCCTTATTCTCCCCCACAGACTTAATAGGGCTGCTAGATAAAATACAGAATGGCTGGTTAAATTTGAATTTCAGATAAATAATAAATAATTCTTAACATAAGTATGTTCCAATCGTGTATGGACTATACTTATGCTAAAAAAAATTATTCGTGGTTTATCTGAAATTCAAATGTAACTGGGCATCCTGTATTTTTATTTGCAAAACCTAGCAATCCTGCCATCTAGCATGCTATATATTTTACTTATTTGCTCGTTATCTGTCTCTACCGCCCCCATCTGCCCAAACTTAGCCCTTAGAACATAAATTCAAAGAAGGCAGGTACTTTTATTAGTCTGTTTGCTGCTAGATCCCCAGAAGCTAAAAACAGTGACTACTACAGAACAGGTGCTCAGTATTCATTGAGCAAATGAATAAATGAATAAAGTGGTCACACTCTCTCTTTGTGACCAGCTCAAGTCTCTCAAGCATCTTTCAATTGCTGTGTTTGTTTGAAAGTTATTTCTTAAATTGGTCCCATTCTAATGGCCCAGCTAGATTCTGAGCCATTTATTGCAGCAAAGGCCCAGAGGCTGAATTCCTGCCTTAGGATTCGGTCCTATCAAATAAGAGTGGGGGAGGGGCGGGAGGCAGCCTTATCTCCTGCTGGACCCCACTGACCAGGCGCCTTCAAGGAGAATGCTCTGCTTTGGAAGTGCAAACCGAAGCCAGGACGGATGAATACAAGACTCAGGGATTTTCCAGGGGTTTCTAAGCTTAAAGTTTCCTGCATTTCACCGGGGG